TGGAACAGCCAGTCCTGACCCCCACACCACTCACATGTTCCTATTGTTTAACTTCCTACCTCCTCTCAAAACAGCTGTAGGTCATTTGTTTACTTTTTGAGGTAGATAAAAATTCATTTCATTTCAGGCCTGGCCATGACGAGTATTAGTCAATGGGTCAGGAAACAGTCTGTGACTTGAAGGCCTTTGATCCTGGAAAGGCCACTCTGACCTCATGGTTACCGTTGACACAGCAGTAATTAAAAAATCGAATTCCTCCATATATACTCATTTAATTCTCACAACACTCCTATTAATTAGATGTCATCACCCCCACATTCTAGAGGAAAATGCTGAGTCTCAGAGATGCCAAGTGACTTGTCTGCAGCACCCACCGATTTGTATCCAGATCCGGCTGGCTGCGACCCCTGAGCTTCCCCTGCCTCACCTGCCTATTCCTGAAAGCGCTGCCGGCCCCAACTGGGCAAAGGGAGCCAAGTGCCGGGCCAGGAGTCAGAAAACCTTCCCTACAGTCCCGGCCTGACCACCACGCAGGGCACCTCACTCACGCCTCTGGACCTCAAACCCCTCTCCTGTTAATGGGAGAGCCTGATCGGACCATCGCCCAAGATTTCTTCTGTGTGGCCTTAGTGAAGCCTTGTTTGGTGGTAACAGAAGCCCACTCTGCCTAAACAGGAATGGGTGATACAGTTCAAGAGGCCAGGAGGCCCTCAGAGCTAAGGCAGGAGCTACAGCTGGACCAAGAGGGCCTGGGACCCAGAGACTTCTGGCTCTTGCAGACCCCTCTGCATTGCAGGACTTTCCCTCCCCTCATCCACTTCATTCTTCTCCTTCTGCTAACTGGTTTTATTTTCCTACAGACCGACTTTTTCTGCATCTTCAGCTAAAGGTGGCAGACGGCAACCCAGCTCCCAGTTACACATCTTCATTTGTGGGGCCAAGTGAGCTCTCACCAAATTCCAATTCCAAATCCCCAGGGAAAGGAATCCAACAGGGTGAGCTCGGTTGGGCATCCACCCTGGCCCAGCCAACTGGCTCCTGATTACGTCCAGGAGGGCAGGGTCCCATAGCACAGGAGTAGGGGCTGGGTCAGGGAGATGCCCCCCACTGCTCTGTCCACAGGACAGGAATAGCAGTTGTAGGAGAAGAGACAAAGTCAAGTATCATTCTGCTCCAGAGGAGGTGACATTGAGACCTACGAAAAAAAGCACAAGCTTGCCAGGAAAGCTGGCCCATGCGCAGCATCAGCAGGAAGGCCTGGCGGTGGCTCCCTGCGGGTCCCTCCCCAGGGGCACACAAAACAGCTTTTTGACAGCCAGGCAAGCCTGCCCCGAAACACACTCAGCTGTCCTGTCACTCATGAGTTGGGTGATGTGGGACTGGGGCATGAGGAAGCTTAGGAAAGGGCAAGGGGTGGGGTCGGCAGAGATGACCGCCACCAGTCCTCAGCACTGAATTAGAGCTGCAGCGTCATTTACATAAAGAAGACAGCGCCTCAGCAGATCGTGGCAGCTCGGTTTCCCTGATGACCTTGCTTCCGTTCTTAAAACTGGCACCTACATAGGCTGGAAGCAGCCTCACTCATCAAGTCAGCCAGCCTGGCACAGACACGGTGATGGATGTATATTTCCAGACATGATCTGGGATGGAAACTGGAGAGTAAGGAGAATTTTTGGGGGGTTTCCCGCAAACCTGCTCAGTCCCGGATGGCTCCATGTGACAGGACACCCCTGTTGGCACCCCGGGACCCTCAGGCACATCCGCAGTCCCAAAGCCAAGAGCCAGGAGGGCAGGAGTGGGTCAGGAGGGTCAACATGTGAATCCCTCAGGCTAGGCGGCACAAGTTCCACCAAAAAATCCTTCCTCAGCCCCTGCCAAGTGCAGAGTTCTGACCTCCATGGTGAGGATGAAGATGAAGACAGCATAAGCTCTGCCTCTGGAAACCGCCATCTGCATGGAGAGGAAAGGCATATGCAGGCTGGAACAGTAAGGTGGGAAAGGCCTCTGCATGGTTGAGTGACCTGGTCCTTGGGCCCCTGGGGAGCTGTGAGAGCAGAGGGCAAAGCAGCAGGGATGACGGGAGCTGCCTGGGGCTCGGAGAAGACGGGGAGCGGAGGCAAAGATGTGGGAATGTGAAGGGCACATTTGGGCCCCTAGAATGTGGTGTTTACAGATAGGAACAGGGGAGAAAAGGTGAAAAATCAGTTAATGTTGGAAATGCAAGGCCTCGAACAGCAGGTTAAAAAGTTATGTCCGTAATCCCGTAAGTGATCGGCTGTGGGGATGGTGTTTGAGCAAGAGGGTGAGTTGGAGCATAAAGTAGTAGGTAGGGAGGAAATCGCTGGAAGTGGCCCGGACAATGGGTTCCAGGTTGTGGGACAAACTCCTGGAGTCGAGGGGACTGGGTCAGAAGCTACTGGATACAGCTCAGGACCCAGACACCAAGAGCTTGGATTAGAGTGTGTATGGGAGAGGGGGGAATTCAGGAATAAGCATTTGAAATGGTTAAAGACTCCATGGGACCCGATTACTCATTTGCTGTGTATGGGAGGCCAAGAAGATGTGAAGCTTTAAGGATTAACTTGGTGCCAAGGGCAGAAAAAGGGCATGCCCTCCACAGCCACACAGCCACCAAGTGGCAGGGCGTGGCATCACTGATGAATTCTACACAGTCTCTGCCCTTAAGGACCTCACATCCTCTTTTTTCACCCTCATCTCTTAGGAAAAGGCCCTAAGAAGCCATTAAACATACGTCGTAGAGGAAGTGATCCAAGTGAAACGGGGAAGCTTTGCAGCAGGTACTTTACCTGCATTCTCAGAAGTCCTCAAAATAACCAAAGGAGCTCTGGGGACAGCTGCTCAGGGCAGCAGGCTCTGAGCCCCACGGCACTCCAGGTTTCCTCCAGGAACGTATTGTCCGGGGCACCAAGCGGACAGGCTGGTGAAAGCCCTGTGGGGGGATGAGGTCCAGCCTTTGGCTAGAGATCAGCCTGTGCTCTAGCTGTCAGAGAACTGGAAGGACAAGGACTCCCGTCAGCAAATCAGGCAGAGTTTGGGGACTCAGCGGGGAGTTTGGCTTCAGCTGTGTTGAAGTTGGCAGGATGATGAGGCCCTGAAACACCCTCCTATAGGATTGCTTGGGTGTCCTTAAACACGGCAGCTGGCTTTACCCAGAAGGAGTGTCCAAGAGAGAGCGACACAGAAGCCACCACATCCTCTATGACTTAACCTCAGAACACACATCTCTTTTGCCAGGCTCCATTCATCAGAAGCAAGTCACTCTGTCCAGCCCACACTGAAGGGGAGAGGAACTGGGATCCTCCTGAAGGAAAGAATATAAAAGGAGTATCAAAGAATGTGCAGCCTAGTTTAAAACCAACACAGCACAGAAGTGAATGTGCAGTGTTCCCAAGAGTCTGGAGGCTTGGTAGGCAAGAGGCAGAGTCTGGGAAATCCTGCAAAGATGGTGGGCAGAACAATGTCCTGCAAAGATGTCTGTGTTCTAATTCCCTGGACCTGTGAATATAAGGAAATTACGTTACATGGCAAAGGGGAATTAGGGTTGCTAATGGGCTAACCTTAATATAAAAATTATTCCAGATTATCCAGGTGGGCTCAGTGTAATCACAAGGGTCCTTAAACAGGAAAGCAAGAGGCAGAAGAGTCAGTGTCAGAGTGAAGAGACTCAAGAAAGGCCCCAGAGCCATTGCTGGCCTTGAAGACGGGAGGGACCGTCAGCCAAGGAGGGCGGGTGGCCTCCAGAAGCCAGGAAAGGCCAGGAAGCAGATTTGTCCCTAGAGCTTCCAGAAGGGATGCGGTTGTGCTGGCACCTTGATTTGAGTCTAAGAAGACCCACGTTAGGTCCATTTCTTGTTGTTTTAAGCCATGAAGTGTGTGGTGAATTGTGGCAGCAGCAATAGGGAACTAATACAGAGCTCTGCCCACCCTTGGCCTTTGCCCCGTCTCCGACCTGTTCCTGCTTCCAACACATGCTGATGATGACTGCACTTATTTCCACACGGTCCGTATTGTTATTCCGCACGTTTGCCATCTTGCCTTTGAAGCTATGAGCTCCTTGCATATAAGGCCTACGTGTGTTTTGAGTTTTGCTTTTTCGTATTTATCTGAAGCACCGAATACATTGCTCATTACTTTGCAGCCACTAAGAACCTGACCCGGAGAAAAGGGAATCTCTGTACACTGTTGGTGGGAATGTAAATTAGTATAGCCGCTATGGAGAACAGTTTGGGGGTTGTTCCTCAAAAAACTAAAAATCGAGCTACCGTAGCTCCAGCAGTCCCATGCTGGGTACATACCTACAAGAAAGGAAATCAATCATCGCAGACATAGCTGCACCCCCATGTTTGCTGCGGCACCGTTCACAATAGCCAGGACTTGGAGGCAACCTCCGTGTCCATCAGCAGAAGAATGAAGAAAACATCGTACACATACTCAAGGGAGCACTATTCGGCCATAAGAAGAATGAACGTTTGTCATTTGCAACAGCGTGGATGGGACTGGAAATTATTATGTTCAGTGAAATAAGCCAGGCACAGAAAGACACACATCACATGTTCTCACTTATTTGTGGGATCTCAAAATGAAAACAATGGAACTCATGGAGACAGGAGAAGGATGGTTACCAGAGACTGGGAAGGGCAGTGGGGGGCTTGGGGGGGGCAGGTAGGGATGGTTAAGGGGTACACAAAGTAGAATAAATAAGACCTACTATTTGATAGCACAACAGGGTGCCTACAGTCACAACCGTACATTTTGGAATAACTTCGAGTGTAATTGGATTATTTGCAACTCAAAGGTTAGATGCTTGAAGGGATGGATACCCCCTTCTCTATGGTGTGCTTATTTCACCTTGCATGCCTTTGTCAAAACATCTCATGTACCCCATAAATATAGACACCTACTATTAAATGTATATTTCATAACACCTACCCACAAAATTCAACATAATAATAAAATGAAATTCCAAAAAAGAGAACTTGGCCAATTATTTATTAGACTGTAGAAGCAGCCAGCTTAGCAAAGAGATGAAATAAGGAGGAACTGGTGTGAAATAAAATAGGAACTCGCATGAATTCCTCCTCCTTCAAACTGAAGCCAAAGAATCACACCCAGGGTAGGAGAGTTTATGGAACACTGCTCTGTATCTTCTTTCCTGTCATTTCAAGCTGGCAGTCAAGCTTCACCTTCCCTCAGTCTGGAACTTTGGGGCAGGCACAGCATGGCCCACAGGAGGTTGGGTGGTCACTGGCTCCTCTCCACCTTTGTAAAAACCTGAGGCCTCTGAAGGAATGTTCCCTTTGGGGGTGGAGGGAGGGAGAGGAAATCTTCAAGGGGGTGAGAAGGATGGATCCCCATAACCCAAGAAAGCCCCCCTATTACTATGAGCAGCAGGGCCTGTGTCCTGCTAGGTGACAAGACTCAGGGGAGGGGGGCAGGCAGGACTCGAAGCCCAGGGGTTCCCTGTGTCACCCAAGACACCTGGGCCCCATGCACAGGTGAGAGCTGATTACATGGAGAGGAGCAGGCGGGCCAGGCAGGGAGGTCTCTCCTGAGACCATACAGACTGACATCCGCTGTCATCATGGGCCCTCCCCATGCTGGGACCTGGGACCTTTGCAGACCCAGGTGGAATGGAGGGAGGTGATGTTTGGGAGGACCCTAAGATGACTAAGATGGAATTTCCCACCAGTCCATCAGGAAGCAGGGGGAGGGGCTGGAGTCTGAAATACACTGATAGAGAAAAAGAAGTGACCGCCACACACTCAAGTTTTAGACTGGTACTCAAAAGCATGACATCCCCTTTGGCTTTCAGTGAAGGTGTTTAATCTCCAGTGGAGGCCTGGGGTGGTATTCCAGAGGACAAAAGCCCTGACTGTGCAGTTCAAGGAAGGGGAGGTGAGGAACCGGAACTGCCGAGCCCCTCTGCGGCTGCACTAGGTTGGAAGCACATATTCGATGTCAGCGGGGCCGAGGTACAGATAAATCAGAAGGCAGCTCCAGAAGCCAAGGGTGAAAAGGGTGCCCAGACCTGGTGTGAGTATTTCCCACTGGATGGGGAGAAAGGGCAGGACCTGAGGCAAGGTCAGTTCCGCCGCTGGTGGCGCACCCTCCCCACCGTGGCTGGGCGACCCAAATCCTTCCTGGTGCCACGTCCTCTACGACCGAGCGGCTGTGCTGGGTGGCAGCGACTGCTAACAGCCCCTACGCCCTGCGCAACCTCAGGAGGGGTGTGATGTGAATGCGGCCGGAGCACATGCCCTTGGGGACCACAAGGCGCCCGACTGAGACGAGGCACGTCTGGTATGGAGCTACCTACCCCTGATTGTAGTTGTTCTTTAGGACACACAACAAACATTTCTCCTGCAGAGGACAGAAACGGCACAAGAAAGATCAATTTCCCCTGCTCAAGGGCAGCCTGCTAGGCACCTCATCTGACCTTGCTGCAGGGAAGGACAGAGTAAGAGGGTGGAGCTGGGGGACAGGCGCCTCCAGGATCAAGTCCTGCATGGTCACGGTTAAGGAGGCTCCACAGGCCTAGAAGGCAAGGGAGGCCAGGGAGGGTCCAGGCTCGGGTGGCGTCCAGAGGCCGGCAGGGGGCGGACCTGTCCCTTCACTATGATAAGGCACGAGCTCCGGGAAGTCACCAGGGAGAAGCAGCCAGGGGTCTGGCCCCAGTGCTGGGCTTGGGCAGGGCCTCACTTACGCAGCAGGTCCCGCGCTGATGCAGGGGATCCAGGGAGCCCTGTTTTGCTTTCTGAGGTGCCACCGTCTTCTTGTGAAGAGCAAAGGGTGCTCCATTGGGTCCGCTGGCTCCGTCCATTTTCTGGAGCCTGAGCTGTGGGTCTCTGTGAGTCTTTCCCATCAGCCTCAGTTCCTGCTGCTCTTTGGGTCCTCTTCTAAGGGGACGTGGGGAGGGGGGCCAGGCAGGGCAGAAAGTTGGGGAGACATTTTCCAACATGACAAGGAAATAACCAGTACACGGGTCGCCACGGAAGGCCCTGACTCCTGGGGGCAGTAGGAGCCGAAACAACTCCAAGAGTCTGGGTATCCTGCAAACCCCAAAGCCATTCGGCAAAGAGAAGGGAGGAGACACGTCAGGGATGAGGGGAGACAGGTGCAGGTTACACTTACAGCTTATTGTTCTTCTGTGTATTTATTAAAATGTCCATCTTCTCATCCATATCTTTCTGCATTTCCTTCAAGAGAGAATTCAGAACTAGCATCTTCATTTTGAAGAGCTTTGGAAATACCTTCTTCCAACCGCTCTGCCTCTTACTTCCTCAAGAATCCTCACTAGACTTGCGTGAGGTGGCTTCTGGAGTGTCCATGACACGTACAGCTTCACCCCTTCTTCTCCCCATTCCCTGATGAGACTAAGGCACAGGCAGGGACATTAGGGGACTTTTCTGAAGTCTCTAGGTGAGCCGAGACTAGCCCCTGTTTAACTGATGTCACACTTTGGATAAAACCAGTGCTCGCCTTGGTTTGATGTCTGTAAAATGATGGAATCAAGAAGAGCAGTCTTTTGACCCCAAAGACGGCAATGTTCTGACCCTTGCCAGGCACCAGAGCCTGTGTTTGTGTTTGCTCAGTCTTTTACCTAATTCCTGGCAAAGATGGTCAGTAATAAGCAAAACTGACAGCAGCTAAAGGGACACATCACATGTATTACTCACACAGAACAGAGAGAATAATAAAATCTGGACAAAGTTTTGATCTATAAAATTTGACCTGGATAAATTGAATGGAAATAGTGGACATGAGAGAAATTCTAAGACGATAGAAGTATGATTGACAATATTTGTTACAGACAAAAACAGGTTTGGGTTGTCATAAAATAGAAATAAAAACAATTTTTTCCAATAAAATAATTTTCATTAAAAATGAAAGATTCGGTAACAGTTTAATTGATCTACTGTAGAAAACTGATCAAGAAATTACAGTCTGCAGAGAGATGATTTCATAAAATATCTTCCTGCATTTTTAAATGTTAGTACAAATTTGAATAAAATATTTGTATTCATAGAGTCAAAATATCCTTGAGGTCAATGTCCCGTAGGTCCAAAACATCAGAGTCGAAATGTCCCATATTCTTACACATTTCACCAACACGTACCACTTCAAAATCATCATGTTCCAAACTGATTTCGTTTTCCCAAGCTAGCTCTATCTCCCCCTCTGTCTTTGTCATTGTCACCACTTTCTTCTAATCATCCAGATTAAAATTGGATGTCATCACGGACGCTTGCCTCTGGAGACTTCAGTCTCTATATTCAATCAGTCAGCAAGAACTGTTATGTTTTTCGTTCACTGCATCTTTCAGATTCACTCTGTTGCTTCCTCCCTTACGCCTGGTCCTGCTCTGCTGTCCTTGCTGCCAGACATCTCCACCTGCTCCCAGGGCTCCCGCTCCCCAGGCCGCCTTGCAAACAAACACCTGCCGGGCTAAGCTTTCTGAAGTGCTGCTCCCAGCATGTTCTTTAATCAAGAATCTCCAGAGGCCGCATGATGCTCACAGAACCAAGTCCTAGCTTGTCTGCATGTCTTTCAAAGGCATGTCCTTCATTACCTACAGCCTTTGTGCTCATTCATTTTTTTCTTCCTCACAGTTTCCCCCAGTGGTCCCACTTCATGACTGATCTCCCTGCCGACCACTGTACGCAACGCACTCCTGCTGCCTCCTGCCTGCTCAAGCTGATCCCTGCCTGAAATCGCCTCCTTTGTGCCTTTCCATACCAGCCACCACCCCCCCCCAACAAAATACTTACTTTGTTTGGATTTTAATAGAGAAATAATTAATGCATGCGCTTTGTAGAAAATTTGGACAATACAGAGGGATATAAAAGTATGAATATTCTGATCTGGAAATAACTGCTATGAACCCCTTTGGTATATTTCTTTCCAGTCTTTTTCTGTATATTTACTTAAGTGGTTTTTTTTTTTAACCTAGCCAAGATCAGCCTATGTATATTACTTGTATCCTGCTTTTTTAGTGCTCGTTATAAACATTCTTTCTAAACATTATCTTTAATAGTTCCTAACTTTTATTATATGAATATTCCATAATTTTTTTGAGATAGAGTCTCACTGTCACCCAGGCTAGAGTGCAGTGGTACCATCTTGGCTCACTGCAACCTCTGCCTCTCAGGTTGAAGCAATTCTGCTGCCTCAGCTTCCTGAGTAGCTGGGATTGCAGGCACCCGCCACCACACCCAGCTAATTTTTGTATTTTTAATAGAGATGGGGTTTCACCATGTTGGCCAGGCTGGTCTTGAACTCCTGACCTCAGGTGATTCACCTGCCTTAGCCTCCCAAAGTGCTGGGATTATAGGTATGAACCACTGCACCCAGCTGAATATTCCGTAATTTATTTGGCTATTCCCTTACTGTTGAAAACTGAGGTTTCCAAATTTTTATTATTATAAATAATCCTGTGATGGACATCTTTTTATGTATACCCATGAAGGCATTTCTGATTATTCTCATAGGTTAAATTCTGAGAAGTGGAATTGATAAATCAAGAGGTTGATTTTTTATATCTATTGTCTAATGATGTTCCAGTTTTGTATAAATTTGCACTCCAATTATAGTACAATATGCCTTGTACTATAATTATCACAAATTAAAATTTTGTTTGAACGAAACAATTGATTGTTAATTTGCATGTATTTAGTTATTCATGAGGTCAGACCTTTTTAAAACTATGTCTATTGCTTTTCAGTTATATTCTCTTCTGTGGATTATCTGTTCACATGCTTGTCTATTTTCCTACTTAGTTCTTATTGGTTTATGTGAACTTTATATGTTATGGATAAAAACCCTTTTCCTATGCTTATATTTGTAGAAAAATGTTCCCCCAAACTGTTTTTTTTAAATTCTGTAAACGTAAGTGATTTTTCTCCTAATTCTTTTAAAAAATCTTACATAGGGCAGGGCATGATGGCTCACGCCTGTAATCCCAGCACTTTGGGAGGCTGAGGACGGTGGATCACGAAGTCAAGAGATCGAGACCATCCTGGCCAAAATGGTAAAACCACATCTCTACTAAAAATACAAGAAAATCAGCTGGATGTGGTGATGCGTGCCTGTAATCCCAGCTACTCAGGAGGCTGAGGCAGAAGAATCACTTGAACCCAGGAGGCAGAGGTTGCAGTGAGCCAAGATTGTGCCACTGCACTCCAGCCTGGGCAACAGAGCAAGACTCCGTCTCAAGAAAACCCAAAAATCTAACATACTCAAATATATCAATATTTCCTTTGTCTTCCATTGTATTTATATTTAAAACTTCCATTTGCATATTTACTTAAAATTTCTGATTGGTTTTTATTATTTAAAATCACTTCATAGGCTATTTCACTTTACAGTGGTAACTGGATTGTTTTCCTCATATAGTCAAGCAATGCTTTTAATATTAATACCAAATCCTTTCCTCCTCACTGACATCAAAAAATCACCTTTATCATATTGTAAATTCTATAGCACTGCTGTGGTTCTGAACTTCGCGTACACACTACTAAAAACCACTGGTGCCTGGATCTCATTCCAAGAGCCTCTGACTTAATTGTTATGAGGAGGGTGTAGGGCAAGGCTTCCCAGGTGAGTCTACCATGCAGCCACGGTTAACGTGCAGCTAACTGCTGCTAACATGTTTAGGAACTGGTTCTCATCCACGGGCAAGCATCCAATTTGAAACGGAGTTTTAAGCACCTCCGACCCACCTGGAGATTTTTCTTCAGTTCCTCCGGGAAAGGGTCTGAAGTAAAAGGAGTTTTAAAATCCTCACAAGTGATTCTCATTACATCCCAGGCAGAGAGACTGTTGAGGTGTTATCGATCCCATTTCGTTCATGTATTTGATTATCCTTGGGTTGATTTAATAACTTTGTTTTTATCACGATTTCAATATCTGGTAAGGCTGGTGTCTGCTTACAACTCTTGAAAAATGGGTACGTATTAGCTTTTGCCTGTTTATACTGCTACATCTATGCTGCTCAAGCTTTCCCCTGGGAACTTGTCTAAGATACAAGGACCCAGGACCACCTAAACATGAGGCCAGGCCCTGTTTTGTTAGTGTTCCAGGCGATTCTGAAACACACCACATTTTGTCAATCACTGCTCTAGAATCTAGATCATCCTAGTAATTTTTCGAGTTAAAATAGAATCTTATTGGGCTCTCGATGAGATTTGCATTAAGCTTCCAATGCAGTGTGCAAGGCTCAACTTGAGACTCACTTTCTCTGCAAGGACTTTGCTGCTTACTTCAACCCATATTCATTGCTCACGTCTCTAAGCCTTTAACTAGCAAAAAACCAATCAGTTGTTTGCTAGAATTGGCTTGCAATTCTCTCTTGCAATGGAATTTGGGACTACTAGCAGATAATATGCTCCTGGAGAGCAGGGTCTGGTGTCTCTTCCCCGGTTTCCAGTATGGTACTGGCCCTTGGAAGGCACTCGGTAATGCTTACCTTCATAATTTCCACGAATTCATGAAGTTTATCAAAATCTTTGTCCATTATGTCCTTTATCTGGCGAGGAAAAAAGGCATGGCTTGACAAAGCATAAAGCGTATTACTGACCTTAGTAATACGTTTCGGGTGTCTTCGGAGCGTTTTAAGCAAACGGCAGCAGCTGCTCCTCTGGCACAGACTAATAATGGTCTATTAGAGCCACTTTCCTCTCAAGGAGTCTGTGAGGGGACTAGGGTGCGAGCACCATGAAGCCACCACTGCCACCAGCCTTGGCACGGCTTAGATCTGGCTACTGCAAGGCTGCATGTTGGGTGCAGACCACAGCTTCAATTACACTTTCTTGCTTGATTATTCACCTGTTTTCCTAAGAATGCTACAGGTGGTTGGTTGTATCACAGAAATGAGAGGGTTCCTGCTCTGCAGCTTGCTCAAGGGAGGTGCATAAGGAAGATGGGGTTGGTCCCTGGCTGCCCCTAAATTTAAATTCCAAATCAGCTCCGCTCACTCAGTCTCATCACTAACGTGACGTCACCCACCCTTATCAAAGAGACACTTTAGGGAGGCCTCAGTCACTCAAAAATTGGGTTTAGGCACACTGAAGCGCTCTGGGAGTTGGAACTGAATTACATTTTTCCATGCGATTCCTGCTTTCCTTCACTCTTCAAAGGTAAGGATTGTGTTTTTCCTGAAGCTACACTTTTCCTCCAAATGGAAGGCCTCATCTTGTTACCTGTTTTATCTCCTCCATTTTCTCCTTGAGCTCTTCTCTCACTTCCCTGAGTTCATTCTAAGGAAATAAAATGAAGAGGAGGAAAGAAGCATCTAGGATGGAGGGGAAAACGGCAACAGGAGGAAAGGAAAGATCCTGGGGCATTTTCAGAGAAAAGCTTCCAAGAGGGAGGAAAGAATGATGTTGCTGAGACAATGGGAGAGACCAGGCACACGGGCTCACACCTGTGATCCCAGCACTTTGGGAGGCCAAGGCGGGAGGATTGCTTGAACCAAGGAGTTTGAGACCAGCCTGGGCAACATAACGAGACCCTCCCATCTCAACACTAATTCATGTTTTAAAAAGACTGAACGATAGTGAGACCTACAGGGATCACGCGTCTCTGCCAAAAAATGCACAGCCTGAGGCTTGTCACGAGGAATCCACCAGACAAAGCCTAATAGAGGGTTATCCCACAACATAAGTGATCTGTAATCTGTACAAGTGTCAAGGTTCCCAGGCCGGGCGTGGTGGCTCACGCCTGTAATCCCAACACTTCAGGAGGCTGAGGCAGGCGGATCACGAGGTCAGGAGTTCAAAACCAACACGGTGAAACCTCGTCTCTACTAAAAACACAAAGATGAGCTGGGTGTGGTGGCACGTGCCTATAGTCCCAGGTACTCAGGAGGCTGAGGCAGGAGAATGGTTTGAACCTGGGAGGTGGAGGTTGCGGTGAGCCAAGTTTGCACCACTGGACTCCAACCTGGGCGACAGAGGGAGACCCTGCCTCAGAAAATAAAATTAAAATAAATTAATGTCATTGTCAGTGTCCCCCGAGACAAAGAGCTGTTCTGTTCCAGATTACAGAAAAGACACATAGCAATTAGAGGCAACGTGTAATCCTGGATCAGACCCTGGACCAGAAAACGCCTGCTTTCCGTTGTTACGAAATACATGTGTGGGACAATTGGTGAAATTAGAACAAGGGCTATAGATGAGTGTTGTCTCTGTGTTAACTTCTGGGTTTTGATAACTGTACTGTGCCTGTGTAAGAGGATATTCTTGTATTTAGGAAGGAGGCACGGAGGATTTGGGGAAAACTTACTCTCCAGGGATTCGGAATATAGACACGCCTCCAAGCTCCCGCACTCACCTTTAGGTCCTGCGTCACTCCCGCTTTGGTAAACGACCCTTCTTGTTTGACTGTTTTGTAATCCAGCATCTGCGGATTGAAACAGGAGCAGACACTGTTGGGAATTGCAGATGGAGGGTGGAAGTCAGAGGCAGGAGAGATCCCCCTGTGTTTCTGTTCCTCCCTTAGGGCTAGGGCAGGGGGAAAGCTGGTGGCCTCACGTGTGCAGAAGGTTCCACTATCCTCCCTCTTTCAGCTCCTCTCATTCCACCCTCCTCCTGGCCCACGGGGCCTCAGCTCCTTTTGTCCCTTGGACAGCGAAGCCAATTCCCACCTCGGGCCTCAGTGCATGCTGCCTCCTCTGCCTAGAAGGCTCCTTCTTTGCCTGTGCAAGGCCAGCACCTTGTCTGTCAACTCTCAGCAGCTCAAAGGAAGGCCTTTCTCCACCACCCACTCCACAGCAGCCACCCAGCCATGTCTCCCTGTCTTGATTCCCAGCAGAGCAGGTAACACGACTGAATCAGTCCTTGTTCACGTATGTATCTGATCGGTTCCAGTGTGAAGTTCTATGAGAGCAAGAAGCCTCAGTGCATCCCCCAGCACCTGGGACAGGTCTTGGCCCCTAGGATCAGCGAATGACCCCTGACTCCAGGTCACTTCCCCACGGATCTCAGGCCTGGCTGCTGGCATGGCCTCAAAAGAGCGTCTTACTTTGGTTGGCTCTGGCTTCAATTCTAGGCAAACTGCCTTGTAGTTCTTGCTCTGCAGAAAGAGGAGGCTGGGATTCAGGCCGGCAGCCATCAGGATTGAGGAAGAGAACATCTGGTCCTTGCAAGGGGACCCCGCCCCCTCCTGCCACCCCCATGCAACCCTGCCTGCCCAGCCAACGGGCCCAGGCTCACAGACCCCACACCCAGATCTGATTCCTGGCAACTCAAATCTTGGTGTTCTGTCCTCTTCCTGGGGGCGTGTGCCTGCCCATTCAGCAGGCAGCCCTCTCTCTGCTGGAGGGGCCAGTGTGGAGAAAGCACTTCAAGCTAACTAGAAGCAAGCCCGGAAGTGTTTCCAGGGCAAGGGCTTTGGCCATCGGCAGATTTGGGCTCTAATTGCAGCTGTCCTCTCTACTAGCTTGGTCAATTTGGGTGAGTTGCTTAGCCTTTCTGAGCCCTCATTTCCTCATCTGTAAAATCGTGGTGATAATGATTTTATCTAATAATGTTATTTGGAGCCTTAGACCTGCTGGTTAGATGCTGGCAGGTCTGGTATGGGTCGTGCAACCATGAGTCTCGGAGGGAGGAGTGCTCCCTCGGCAGTGCTCCTCATCCCCAGAGGGAAGCAGCAGAGGCCTCTTTCTTCCCACCCCAAGCCCAGGGATTACTCTCACACCTCTTTCAGGCTGAGAGGCTGCTTTATGCTCAGAACAGAGAAAGAAAAACCAGAGGTTCATGGGAGTGTTCTCTGTGTCCCCTGCCCCCGCCACCATCTCCATTCAGTAGGAGCTCAGAGAGGCCCCAACCTGTCCAGCAATGTCTCTGTTTTACCAGATTTGCTTTCTTTAATTCTGCCCTCTTGGCCGACATGATGGAGGAGGCCAGGGTGTTCTTCAACTCCCCACAACAGCCCCCAGGACCAGGCCACTGTCCTCTGCAACTTAGAGGTCCAGGTATGGGCAGGGTGACTAGCCCTCTGTGTACGGAACAGCTGAGGTCACAATGCCAGGTCCCACACGCTGGTCCAGAGTGTCACCACAGCTTCAGGCCTGGGGGGCCTTGGCCACTGAGATGAAGGGCTCAGGAAAGGTTTCAGAGCCACCAGGCCTCCCTCTCACAACAGAAGGAAAGTCCACACTCAGGAGGACCATGGCCTGCTACGGCTGAAGCGCGAGGCCCACGTCAGAATCAGCAGCTCCTTCTGCAGCAGGACTCACATACGGACCCGGAGGACACCCTCCAGGGACAGGCAGCTTCTCCTCTGAGCGCGCAGCCCATGTCCTCTGCTGTGTGCTCCTCATGCGAATGGACCCCACCTCAGGCCAGAAGCCACCTTGGGTTGGCGGACGGCCTGAAGTCTCTGGTTCAATGTACACGCACCGTCTTACCTAACCTGGGTTACTCCGTGTGAGGTGGGATGGCCAGTCTCAGCAGGATGGTTTCTGATGTTTCTGGCCGCACAATGCCCCTGTCCCACAACCACCCCCCGCTCACCTAAAAAGTCTCTTTGCCTAGCTCTTCTATCATCCTGGAAGAGGGCTGGGACATGAAGCTAAAGACAAGACGCTTTTGGGGTGAACAGAAAAGCATACTAAAGAAAAGTCCATTCTGAGGGTGGCCATAGTTTGTGCTAAAGTAGACAGAGGAACATGGCATCCCATGGGATCAAAAGTCATTGGGAATCTGGGTTGGTGAACTTGATTTCTCTTTTCCTTTGATCACTGGGCATTCCACTTCCTTCTTCCCTCTCTTTTCAACTGCTATTTGCACAGAAAAGGCCAGCAACGTCTGAGGACAGACAGCACAGGAACTCATGTGAGTTGCATGTGAATGACATGCCCACACATGCCACTTCTGATCACACACACCCTCCTGTTTCATGCACCTGCCGAGGCCTATCCTTTCCGAAGGCCGCTAGAACTCTGGAGCCACCTGCAGCACTTCGGATGCATTTCCTTAGTGGTGATTTCCCAGCCCCGTCCCTGGTGACAGCTGTGGATTTCACTCCATCACAGCCAGAGGAGAATGTGTCTGTCCCTGCATCAGGGGAAGGAGAGGGAGTTGGGGATGATCACCAGCTTCCCAGGCCTCACTTTCCCCACTTGTAAATGAGAGGCTGGAACTTTAAAGTTTCCTCGGACCATTCAGTTCAGCCCTCCCAGATCTGGCCTCCTGGTAGGAATGCCCTTTCTCCAAGGAGATGACAGGGAAAATGGCTGACTCCATCTCAACCTCCACAAAAATGGGCCCCATCTCCTGCTAGTTTTGGCTTGGGGGCCTCCTGGACCTGCAGCAGAGCTTCCCTTGCCTGACCGAGCAGTTGTTAAATGAGCTGCCTTCTAGCCAAGCATAGCCCGTGAGCCCACTGGCGTGTCTTTTAGGAAAGAAGGTCTAAGAGAAATCAAGGTCTGAATGCAAAACCACTTTATAAAGAGCTTTATATGTATATACACCTGTGCACATGGTACCATCATTTGGGCAGAACTTTTTAACTACAGACCCAGAGCTCTGGGCTTGTGCCTTCTCACAGCATTTACTATTCACGTTCTCAAATACTGTACACCATTGTTTCATTAATATGCTCTGGAGGGGCTGGGGGAGTCCATGTGGTGAACTGAATAATGATTATTTATCTATTAAGAGATAGGATCTTGCTCTTTTACCTAGGCTGGAGTGCAGTGGTGTGATCACGGCTCACTGCAGTCTTGAACTCCTGGGCTCAAACGATTCTCCTGCCTCAGCATTCTGTGTAGCTGGGACCACAGGCATGCATCACCTGCCCAGCTAATTTTAAAAATTTTTTGTAGAGACAAGGTCTCACTATGTTGCCCAGGCTGATCTCGAACTCCTGAGCTCAAGGGATGCTCCTGCCTTGGCCTCCCAGAGTGCTAGGATTGCAAATGTGAGCCGTCATGCCCAGTCTGAATAATGATTTTCATATTCTTTTAAGAAGCTTTGCACCCGTATGAGAAGCTAGGTTGAAGCAGTGTTCCAGTGTTGGTATTGCTGTGGTATAACTTTGTTCTAGGTAAGCCATAGGATGTTCTTACCTGAAGAATGCCAAACATGCTTCTCCTACCCCGCCTTCAGAGCAAAATCCATTTGTACACCAGGGCAAGCAGCGTAGGGCCCACTGCTGTTCCATCGGAATTTTGGGAAAAAGGAATATTCACAACAGACAGAAGGAAGAAGCCACCTGTCTCTGTTTTCCAAGCTGGTATCATTTTCTTTACAAGCGTCCTGCTTTTTTCCCCCACTTTTATGAACACAGTGTTGTGTGGGGAGGCTGGGGTTGGGGGAGTTTTAAAATGGTCTTAGGCCCCCGACTTCGGCCTCTTGTGATTCGGGGTCTGGCCCATGATGAGGTCCAGGCTCAGCCACTCTCCACGTCAAAGCCCAAAGAACATTAAGAGAATGTCATGTGTGCCAAGGGGCCTATCTGACCACTGGGGGACCAGTGTTCTAAAGCCCTTTGATTAGGGTGGAACGTTTCACAAAGACCCAGAATTCAAACAGACATGGCTCAGTGCATGTGACCTAGACGATTCACACTGAGGATGCCCTGGCTGTTTACATCCCGACAGACTGGAGTTTCTGGGTGGCTGCCCTTGGCCAGAGAGGATCTCTGACTCACAGCCCCAAGAGAACCTCTTACATAAAATTTTTAGAGATCTCATATGATTGATTCCTGCGTTGTCCTGCTTGACTGATTTACAGACAACTTGGAAAGCTTTACTCTGTGCAGGGTACAAATATCTCTGATCATTGACACACTGAGTACTAGGCAATTTCTGATCATTTTTATCATAGTGATCAGACCTTGGCTAGAATCATAATCCTATTAAGTTGTTTCTGTGGAAAACTTATATCCAGTTTTTATCACTTGTACTTCCTGGTATCTCTGTTTCAGGAACTAAACATAACAATCAGAACAGATCATTGTACATCTCTGGCTATTTCAATATAGCTAATGACAAGGGAAAAGTCAGAGCAAACGAACTGTGGGAGGATCTTCTCTCCCGTAAGTTCACCGTGACAGGCACATGCTTGCCAGGGCCTCCCGAGAACCAGGGGAACCCGTTACTATTCCCACAATCAACCATCACAGGGCACCAGGCATGTGAGATAAAGCCAACGCCGCCAGCCAGCAGAGCTCTCCCTGCTCCTGCCAAACGTGGCCCCTGAGGCCTCCTTAGCCCGTTCCCTTTACCCTCTTTGGATGGAACCCGAGTAGAGCACAGCGATGATTTCACACCTGCCTCTCTCAGCTTCCCTGCTGGAAGGGGCTCTGCGGTTGCAATTCCCACCCCTAAAATCCTCCTTTCCACCTCCGACAGCTTCAAATTCCCGTCCATCACTGAAACAGTCAAACCGAGTGGCACAGTAGTAGATTCTTGGGACTGGCCTTGTTGGGGGACTATGCTTCATATGGGGTCCATGGAGGGTGGAGCATCTCAGATGGGAGGGCTCCTTGGGTTAGTCCTGGAAATAGCCCTCGTCGCTCCCACTCACATTTTTTGGCTGGAACATAATCGCAAGGCTGTACCTCCCTGCAAAAAGAGGCTGGGAAATGTGGCCAGGTTTCTCCCAGGAATAAGAGGAGACAGGCTTCAGGGCCTAATCTCCGTCACACTTCCCTGACACATTTCATCTTCCTTATCCCATTCTAGCAAGTCTGCTCGTAAGAAAACTTGATTTCGAGTTCTGCTCTTAGTGTAAAAGGGAGGGAACTTACAAGGTCCCAAAGGGAAGCCAGTAGCTGGGTGTGGTGGTGCACGCCTGTGGTCCCAGCTACTTTAGAGGCTGAGGTGGAAGGATCGCTTGAGCCTAGGAGGTCAAGGCTGAAGTGAACTAGGATCACACCACTGCACTCCAGCCTGGGCAACAGAATGAGACCCTGTCTAATTTAAAAAAAAAAAAAAAAGAGAGAGAGAGGAAACCTACACTGGAGACTCAAACAGAAAGAAATCTCCTAGCAAATGTGAACTGGAAGAGTTAGGATCAGGGTTAGCGACTCACCTCTGTGTCACCTGAATGGCCA